GTCTGTCGGCAGGCCCCCACGAGGACGTCCTGATTTTGTCGTCGGACAGGTCCGGGTGGGGGGGGGGGTTATCTTCCTCCTCTCTGTCTTTCTGACATCATCATGATGAGGATGATGATGATGATGAGGATGAGGATGAGGATGAGGATGATGATGATGGTCGTTCACTTCCAACCATCGTTGAAAGTTTGGAACGATAATCCAATCAAAGGTCATGGTGTCAATCCCTCAGAGCCAATGAAACGCTGGCGTTTATGGAGAAATGATGATTTTTACCTCTGACTTACGGCTGATTGGCTCAGACTGACGACACTGTACGGAGAATCCTCAGTGGTAGTTAGGGTTGTGAGGAGTGGGCTGCGTTATCTCAAAAAGTCACTGGTCATACCATGACACTACACACTCTGGTACAGTAGGTGGCGGTATGCGCCCTAAATCAATCAGTGGATTGTATACAGAATGCTGGCGCCAGCAACTCTTACAGTTCAGACAATATGGGCAAAAAAGTTCATATTGGACATCGCTAATATTTATTTCAGTTTATCATAGGCATTGGCAAACTATGGCCCAGGTTTTTTATTTCAGCCCAAGAAAACTTGTCCAAATATATTATTAATACGTTAAGGTTTTTTATTTCGGTCCGTGAAAACTTGTCCAAATATATTATTAATATATTTATATCCTTTCTCCTGCGATGCCTGTGTTTCCCCAATAGATGGCGTAGAAAAGGCTAAATTGATCTGTCTGATCCTGACAGCGCCCCCTTGTCAAATGTTATGACTCACGCCTGGTTTATGAGGTAGACCAGGACAGTCGCTGATGGGATTTTTACTGATGGGATTTTATTTTTTTAAATATCGTGTAAAAAAGTTGTGATAAAATCGTATTGTGTGTTGAAAAGATCGTGTTTCATGTTGTGCGATGAGTGTAGTGCATCGTTACCACCTGAGAGGGCGACAACACGACGCCGTCTCAGAGTAAACATGGTGGTTGTTGAACTTGTTGAAGCACGTGCCGTCGTCCTCGCCGCAGGAGCCACCGTGCGGTGACTCACTCTGTACATCACAGACCACAGCTGCCGACTGTCTGTAGGCACAGGACGACCACAGACACGATGTGGGGGGTTAACGTCCTGGTGGTTAACTATTAGCTGCCGGTTCAAAGCCCAGTAAAGAAGACTCTTTCACTGCACTTTCTTTTTGAACTTGCTTTTCAGAGGGAATACAGTGCAGAGACTTCTGGGGGAGCGAGTGAGCGAGCGAGCGATTCACTTGACGGCGGTGTGTGTGTGTGTGTGTGTGTGTGTG